TGTGAAGTATTAGTTCAAGAAAAATGCCTATCTTTGAAAAGATATAATTGCACACATACACTAAATAATAGAATACTTGAGTGTATATATCCATTTACTATATTTTCAGGAATTCCAGAATGACTTGTTTGATATATGTGCGTCTGCCATAATTTAGAGTTAAGAGATGTCTTTAAATAGACATCTAATTTTGATATTCAAATGATTGTTCCTTGATTTTTTTTTCATCAATGACCCTAGTAAACTCAATGGCCAGCTCATTGTTACTAGGGTAACCTAGTCATACCAGTGGAAAAAAGACAACAAGGTTTGTTCATTAGTCTCCTAGTATATCTGACATCATAAAATCATCTGTTGTCCTATTTTTTAAAAATGTACCAATACAATGTGTGAAGAAAAAAATGGAAGTTTTCAAACAACACGAAGTTTTAATTTAAAAAAAAAGAAAAGTTTCCTAATTGCTAAAAAGCAAGTATAAATAATTTTGTAAACTCTTTGGGTTGCCACAATTCACTATAGGTTTTACCTAAAATGGATCTGTCAAGTATTTCATTTCATATAAAAGCGCTTTCATTAAAAGCAACCTGCGATAATAATCAAGAGGCAGATGCTGGAATATGTAAGTAAATAACTGAAAACCTCTGCATAAATAAACACAAATCAATGTAGTAATAGTCAACACTATTGATGTGGGAATGATCGATTTTAGTCTTCCAACCTGCAATCAAAACCTGCAACGTACAATTAAAAGTATATTTTTCAACTCTACTAATACAACTACTACTGGAAAAATAAATAAATAAACACATAAGCAATCTCTACTGCGATTCTAGAAAAAAGACAACAAGGTTTGTTCATTAGTCTCCTAGTATATCTGACATCATAAAATCATCTGTTGTCCTATTTTTTAAAAATGTACCAATACAATGTGTGAAGAAAAAAATGGAAGTTTTCAAACAACACGAAGTTTTAATTTAAAAAAAAAAGAAAAGTTTCCTAATTGCTAAAAAGCAAGTATAAATAATTTTGTAAACTCTTTGGGTTGCCACAATTCACTATAGGTTTTACCTAAAATGGATCTGTCAAGTATTTCATTTCATATAAAAGCGCTTTCATTAAAAGCAACCTGCGATAATAATCAAGAGGCAGATGCTGGAATATGTAAGTAAATAACTGAAAACCTCTGCATAAATAAACACAAATCAATGTAGTAATAGTCAACACTATTGATGTGGGAATGATCGATTTTAGTCTTCCAACCTGCAATCAAAACCTGCAACGTACAATTAAAAGTATATTTTTCAACTCTACTAATACAACTACTACTGGAAAAATAAATAAATAAACACATAAGCAATCTCTACTGCGATTCTACCTGATTCTACTACATATTCTTTCCAGATTATTTTGACCAGGGTGGAAGAAGTACTCTATTTTTCCTTAGAAAGCTTTGCCAAACTTTAAAACTACATCATTAATTATAGAAATTATAAAATATCAAATAAAAAAATTACTACCTTATTCTTGCTCTGCATTTTTCAACCTTCATCCTAGCCTCTAATTACTCATTCAGCACATTTTTATAGGAAAACCGTACAATAGTACTCATTATTTTTAGGATTTGTTTCAACTACTGTAATACATTTAGTTTTAAAGAGTCTTTGAGTCTTTTGATATAATAAATGAAAAAGATGTCATTTCTTCAGTCTGCCAGGGAGCTCTCACAGCTATGCATGCAGATGCAAGCCATATGAAATAGGCAAGGGTGGAACTCATCTGCATTATTCTAAAATTGTTTCAAATAATGACCACAAGGCAAATGAGTGTCTGGTTCAAGTAAATAAATATATTTTGGATTTCTAGAAATTCATATATAAAACAATGTTCCCAATTTTGCTAAATGTTTAATTTTTTTTTTTAAAGAGCACTTTTCCCTGGAGGACAGGATTGGTTTTGATTAACAAGCAAGGATATATGATGAGTTTGAGCTACTTAGATTTTTGAAGAGTAATTAAAATACAGGTAACTTGTTTCTTCATTAATAAAAATTCTAATTTTCATTCACCCTTGAATCTAGGCTTCTCATGAACAAGCCTTTAAAATAATTATTTATTTATGACATTCAGCTACTTTGAAAACAGTTCTTTCTCCTACATAATATTGTGGGCACACAGATACCAGTTCTGATTATTTTTATAATATTGAACTGCAAGCTATTCTTCTTGACTCTTCTCTTTCCCATCCATGGCCAAGAATTCAGGGACAACCAAACCCAAAAGGAAAATATCATCAGTTATTGTTTAGGGTTAATTTAACAGATAATTTAACTTCAAACAACAATGATCAGGTCATTAAATTTCAGAGCAATGAGAAAATGAAAGAACTGAGCGACAACAGCTCCCTAAACCCATTACAGTTTTTAGTCTTCCTGCTCAATCAACAGAATATAAAAGGCCTGAGAGGGAAGGTATGTCTGCACCTTAAACGCATTGATTCTAACAATGAGACAATAGGAGATGAAGAGGGAATAAAACTGAAGAAGACAACTCCAATTCCGGGAGTGCTAACAGTGTAGGAAAATTCATCTAAAACCGAAAATGAATATCCAAACATATCAGGTAACTGAACGCTCCCTTTCATTCCGCCCTAATCTCGAAACGGTGCAAGGTGTTTTCTCCCTTGGCTTCTCCGAAAGGCCAAGGACGAGAGAGGATTATACAAGTCAGGCAACAGACCACGGAACAGCCTTGGGGCATTTTATCCTCCTTTCTTCCCATTCGCACAAACATAATTTTGAGGCTTACTTATTCTAATCTGAAATACTTTTTCTGATCACTTCACAATTTCCGCCTACTTCAAGTTCTGAGAGGACTGGGTGAGGCCAGCGTTGAAGCGTAGACACGAGGTCTGCGTGGAGGGGGCAAGGAAGAGTCCAGAAGGGACCAGTTCTCTTTGGCGTAGCCCTTTTCTTCCTGTGGCTGACACAATGCCCTGAGAACCTCCCACATAGATGGGGTGCTGTGCCCACCCAAACTCTGCCCTCCTTTCCCCCGTCCCGCGGCCGCCCTTAGCGATAAGGGAATTTTTCAAGGAAATTCCTAACCCGAAGCTACGTCTTTCCCTGTAGGACCCCTCTGCCTTGGACTACAGTTGGGCATAGAAGCAAAATGACGTGGAAAGGGAAAAGAGAAGTGGACTGGGAAGCGGAAAGGAGAAAAGATGTCTATTGACAGAGAAAACCGTTTTATCAACTAGCAGATAAGTGCGGAGGTCTGAAACCGCAGCGGATAAACAAAAAGAAACAACTTTCAGAGGGAAAAAGAGGAGGGAAAACACCGGAGACTAAGAAGAAAGGAAGAGGGGGGAAGCGCGCCCGCCGAGGTTCTCGAGTCAATTCTCCTGGCATCAGCTGTTCGCTACCCAGCTCCAAGCTCTGCTTGTCCTAGGCAAGAGCGCCCTCACGTTGCTGCTCCCTGCGCAGCGCGTCTTCACCCCCGGCGGGAATCTGGTCTGCAGGGTACCGGGAGCGCCTCTCCTCCCTGGCTACCGCGCCGCCCGAGCGGCCCCAGCTCTGCAGTCCGTGACTTCTCCACGTTAGTCCAAAATCCGAGACGAGGCCGACAGGTCACCGCCGGAAGACTTCAAGTCCAGCCGTCGTGCCCCTCTCCAACTTCACCCGGGAGCCTCAGAGGCGTCGCAAGGCTAATAGGATACCGTGACAAGGGCCCCGAATTCGCTTCGGGCGGAGCCGACCGGTGTCTGGCGCGCGCTTGCCGCCACTCTGGGACAGCCAGGCTCTCGAGCGCCCAGCGCCGTCTCCTAAGTGTGCATTAAGAATCAATTATTTGCCTGAGATTTCCGAAGCCGGGAACTGGGATATTCCCAGCAGGGACGAAGTCAAGCCCAGAACGGTGCTCATTTCCCCAGTCTTTCGAAGAGACGCAAGAAAAGCCTCCCACCCTCCTAAACCGCCGCCCTCGACCTGGAGCGGCCCTGCTGAATCCCGCAGGGACCCTCGCCGACCCAGGCCAAGGGTCTAGGGGAAAAGGGCCAGCCAGTTCTGGGGGAGATTGGCAAGACTGTAAAAATTGGGGGAGGAAGGGCATTTTTTAAATAGAAAGACTGGAAGGAAGGGAAAAGGAAGGAAGGACGGAAGAAAAGATGAAACTTTAGGGAGATGCAAGTTCTTGGCTTTGGAGCAGAGCTTTGTATCAGATGGGAAGCGCAAATGACCCCGAGTTCGAAAGTTTAAACAAAATCCCGTAGTTCTCGCCGCAGCCATGAGACTCAAGGAGCCATATCCCCATGAGCTGAATGATTTTACACGTTAGGACCTCTCTCTTCTCCATGTACACCGCCCCGCCGCGGGGGGGCCCGTGCTGAATCCCGCAGGGCCCCTCGCCGACCCAGGCCAAGGGTCTAGGGGAAAAGGGCCAGCCAGTTCTGGGGGAGATTGGCAAGACTGTAAAAATTGGGGGAGGAAGGGCATTTTTTAAATAGAAAGACTGGAAGGAAGGGAAAAGGAAGGAAGGACGGAAGAAAAGATGAAACTTTAGGGAGATGCAAGTTCTTGGCTTTGGAGCAGAGCTTTGTATCAGATGGGAAGCGCAAATGACCCCGAGTTCGAAAGTTTAAACAAAATCCCGTAGTTCTCGCCGCAGCCATGAGACTCAAGGAGCCATATCCCCATGAGCTGAATGATTTTACACGTTAGGACCTCTCTCTTCTCCATGTACACTTGTCTCGTTTTCTCTCCATCTCTTTTGCCACGTCTATAGCCTCTTTAACCTAGGGACCCGCCGTGATTTCCGTGAACACGTAAAAATCACGCCTCCTTTCAGCTACTTCTGTTGGTAAGCAGCGCGTCGCTAACAAACATTTTCCGAGAAAAGAGGAACATATAAGTTCAGCACCCCACAGTCGCGATTTAATAATCAAAAGCAGTCAACGGGACATACTTCCCACACCACCCTGTCCCCTCCGAAAACACTTTTACTTACCATTCTTGGGGGGAGAGCGCTCTCAGTCCTCCAGTCTTTTTCCTCGGCATCCTTCTGACACCCTCAAGCAGACTCTTGGGTGGAGGGAAAAAAAAAATAGAAATCGGGGGTAGAAAAGATACAAAAATAACCCCACAGCCTATATTTGCCAGCCCAAAGCTCCCTTGGCCTACATTCTCAGGACAGGTCCCTACAAACTGACCGCTAGAGTAGGGAA